ACAGTCGTATCTTGAATTACTTCTTGAATAATTCAGCAACTCCATCAGACAAAATCTTGTATTACTTCTTGACTCCTTCAACAACTTCATCATACAGCAGCTACATCTTCATTCTCCCCCTTTTTGACAATGTTTGTGAACTCAACAGTTCTAACTCCAAAACACTATCACGAAACACATCATCATTCTCCCCCTGAATGAGTCACAACATGGTCAAAACTACTTAGAAAATTCTCTCCGCTTTGGAATACAAGGTTGATAGCCTAGTACACAACCTCCATAGAAATCATCTTTCCTAACCCAAATCTTCCGGCGCCTCAAGCCTACATGACTGGATTCTGGAATGAATCTGAAACAATTCCTCTTAATATGCCCTTGAACTCCACAATGATAACATGTAGGACCATGAAATCTCATATCATAAGCATTCTCCATTCGATTTTTCTCCCTCAACAATCTGAAACACCTTGGCCTAATATGCCCAACAACACCACAATGATGGCAAACAGGTCGAAAAACTCGTCGAGGTACACTCTGCAGTTCTTTAACTTTTCCTGAATCAGACTCTGTATCAGTTCTCGTATCAGATACTGTCTTTGCATTTATTGCAGTCCATGCTGTAGTTTTTGTGTCAGTTCCTGAAGCATACGTGATTTTACCACCATAAACAAACACTGGATCCGATTTTGAAAGATTTCTTTTAAATCCAAGGCCACACTTATTCGTCTTGCCTATATTCAGAATATGATCCAACTTCTTTGTGCCATTATTAAGCATCCTCAAATTCTTTTGAGTTTCTTCAAGTTGTACTTTAGCTTGTGATGCTTCTTCTTCTTTTTCTGCAGTATATTTCTGTGCTTCAATGACTTTAGCCTCTAACTTGAGTTTCTCCTTAGACCATCTCCAATGTATTTTCCTATTTTTAGATCTATCTCTATAATAGAGGTAAGTTTTCTTTATTTTTACTTCAATGTGTTCCTCTATTTTTTCCTCTAAAAAGTTTAACTCTATTTATAGAGGAAAAAATAGAGATTCTCTATTCTCACCTCTATATATATAGAAAAAAATAGATATCTCTATTTTAGAGGTGAGAATAGAGGTGGGTTGGAGCAAATTTGCCTCTAAAATAGAGTTTAAAGGCAAATATAGAGGTGGGTTGGAGATGCTCTTAGTTAACACTGAATTCTCCTCAACCATTTTAAGCCAATGCTCATATAAGGCTGTAATTCTCAGCAAATTCTTCATCATCAACACTCTCTGCATCACTATCACATTCATCGTTTTCACTTTTAATTGCAGGTCCTGTTGCAGACACTGATGCAGATCCTGCTGCAAACGCTGATGCAGATCCTGTTGCAAACGCTGATGCAGACTTTGTTGCAGATGCTGATGCAGACTCTGTTGCAGACGCTGATGCAGTCTATGTTGCAGTTTCTGGCAGAAAATTAGTAAAAGCCACAAAATTCTTCAGTTCTTCTTCATCATCTGAATTAGTTTCAGAATCACTAGTCACAACATTCATGGCCTTCTTCTTATGCTTTTGTAGATTGGCGCATTCCGAACGAACATGTCCATAACCTTTGCATTCAAAACACTACACATTCTTTGATGAACTTCTCAACTCTTCATCAATTCTATCCTTCTTCTCTTTTCTCTTTCGCTTCAGATATTTAGTAAACTTTCTTGACAACATAGCCATTGAATCTTCAGTTGATAATCCCTTAAGAGCAACTCCAATGTCAATTTCCTTCTTCACTTCATCTACCTTCTTCATCTTTCCTTTAGCTTCATATGCTTTACTTAACTCAAAAGCTTGAAGAATCCCAACAAACTCATCAAAAGCCATCTCATTTAGATTATGAGCTTCTTCATCTGCAGAAATTTTTGACTCAAATTTTGCAGGTAATGATCTCTTCAACTTTTTCACCAGCTTTTTGTCCTTGTAAAGCTTTCCAAGAGCAAACGACTCATTAGATATGTCACATAACTTGGCACTGAAATCAGCAACAGTTTCTTCTTCTTCCATCCTTAGATTCTCAAATTGTGAAGCTAACATATCCAGTTTCGTTTTCTTAACGATTGTAGTGCCCTCAAACATATTCTCCAATGTCTTCCATGCTTTTTGAGCTGATGCACATTGAGAAATTAACTTAAAGCGGCTTGAATCAATAGCATTGTAAATCGCAGAGTCTGGGACTCAAACCCCAGACGGTGTAAAAGCATTAATTAACCATTATTCAACGAATGGGCCAAGGAGAGTTCTATGTAGTAAACTATCTATAATTCATAATTTTTCTCCAATAATAGCCTTTAGGATATGTTTATCAAAGGAAATAATCTATTATATAATTTATATTAAAGCGGCAGCACAAACGGGATTTTAACATATGGTTTATAAAAAAAGTTCCACATTTGCCATTACTATAGAGGGTGTTGCCAAACAGACTTAATCTCTTTCTAATTTTTTTATAACTAGAGATTAATCGGGTTATGTTTGGGGATGGATATAGGGGTGGGCATTTGGGTATGCGGGTCGGGTTCGGGTAAAACCCGATCGGGTACGGGTCTTTCGGGTAGAGGAGTTTAGGACCCAATAGGGTAAATCTAAAATATCGGTTCGGTTTCGGTTCGGGTCTAATCGGGTTCGGGTCGGTTCGGGTTTAGATTTTTAGAACCGCTAAATACCCGAAAAAATCGGGCACCCATCGGGTTCGGATATTTTATACCCAAATACCCAAAATTTTACCAAATACCCGAATTTTACCCGAAATTTCACTCTAATATCCGAATTTTATCCGCAATTTTACTCAAATATCCGAGTTTCACCCAAAAATTTATCCGAATAACCGGAATTTTGTTCAAATATTTAAAAAATTTACAAGCATCTCGCGTATAAATATATTTAGTCTTAAATATATAAATATAAGTGCATTTAATTTTTGGTAATTACTCTCGGATATTTGGATATAAATGTATTTAGCTCAAATATTACATATATATAAAGTTTTTATATGTATAAATATAAGTAATTTCGGGTAATCGGGTACCCGTTCGGGTATCGGGTTCGGATCGGGTTTTACCCTATACCCACGGGTACGACAATACAAGACCCAATAGGGTAAATAGATAATACCCGTACCCGCCCCGAACCGGTTTTTTCGGGTCGGTTTCGGTTCGGGTACTCGGGTACGGTTTTTTCGCCCAGGCCTAGATGGATATACTCCGTTCGGATCGCGGTTTACATATTCTGATCAAGAATTACCATATTCTGACTGAATCCGGCTGAATTGTTGAATCTGGATGAATTTTTAGTGATTTTCAGTTGAATCTTGCTGAATTTTTACATCTTCAAATAGTAACCGCTGAATCTACGTGAATTCTTTTTGTGATATTAGGTAAAATCTGTTAAAATAATTAAGACTTTTACTGAAAAGTATCGTAAAAAAATTATAAATATTGATAGAATAATTAAAAATATCTAAATAAAATAGATAATAATCTAAAATTAACACTAATATAATAATATGTTTGTATAGCAAAATTGAGTTATTCTTCCGTATTTAATTTTGAACTATTAAAAATATGTAAATAATTAACGAAAAGATGTGTCAAAGCGTTATTGAAAAATTCATTTCAAAAAATAACATGATAATATAATATAGATTATCTACTTGTTTTTTTTATTGTTCTCTAGTAGGTTAATCAATAATATGATCAGGATGATTAATAAAATTACTAAAATATTTTAGCATAGTTATGAGTTGTTTTTGCAAAATTTTAAAATTTGATTTAAGTTATTAAAATTTTCTACAGTTATCTGAACATGAATCGTCTCTTGTCTATTCTGGTAGTAATATTTTTGTGTATGAATCATTCATATATTGTATCTCTATAATCTGACTTATTTTAAAATATAAATTTGATGTGTAATTTTTGATGTCCAAAATATTTTAATTCGAATAGTGTACTCTTTGTTATCCAAATTAACTAGAAATAAACATATCTACGTATCTGTTGGTGTTGAAAAAACTGTTAAATCTAGCTGAATTTAGTTTTATATGCAAATGGTGACTGCGGAATTGCTGAATCTGGTTGAATTCGGCTGAATATTTAGTTAGTGTTACCATTTTCTTTTAATTCAATAGATGTTGAATATATTCGAACTAAATTAAATCTACATATACTTTTCAAACAATTCAACAACTTCATTGCACAATTAAATTGCACCATTGGTCAAGGTCAGACTGTGTTTTTTGACTTTTGGGAAAAAAAAATACTGGATCATTATTACTCAGGGAAGATGGGAAAATGGTGAATTTCAACCCGAACAAATTGCATAGTGCGTTTCTATACCTCAACAAAGTCACAATGTCTTTTTCAACCTCAACACTAAAATAATTCAAATAAACTAGTCAGACTATTATATTTGAGCAAAATACTACATTGACTTAAAACAAACTTAGTCAACTGTTTGTTTTCGCTCACTTAGACGATATGATAGTGTCGAAGTGTAACATTTGTTTGGTCATTTGAGTCTATAAACTTAATTCGGTGACAACGAAGTGTCATTTTATCTTTACCAATGTTATTTTGTCTTAACTAAACATCATTGTTTTGTTGAGTTTACGGATTCAAATGACCAGAATGGCGTCTTTCGGTTGAGTTTATGAACTCAATGACCAAAACGACATAATTTGATTAAGATAAAATGATACTTTGTCGCCATCGTATCGTCTAACTGCGCGAAAACAAACAGTTGACTAATTTTCTTTAAGTAAATGTAATTTTACGCTTAAATCTAATAGTTTGAATAATATATTTAAATTATTTTAGTGTTGAGGTTGAAAAATGCACTATAATTTTATTGAAGTATAAAAACGTACTTTGAAATTTATTAGGATTGAAATTCACCATTTTCCCAGGTTAGACCCCTCACACACATTGTTGGAATAGCTACAGTCATCCCCGACCCCGATAGATAGTTGGCACCTCACATGTGAGGCACGTGCCATTTACAGTATTCTTTATGGGGCATTTTTCTGATCTGTTTTTGGCCGTTTCTAGTTAACTAACTAACAGTGACTAAAAATTTAAATTAGATAATAAAAAGAAATTAGCAAAAATAAACGAATTAATGTCTCGTCTCTTCTCTCTTGTCTTCTCCAGATCAGTGCTTGTGGGGTTTTCCCCATGGAGCTTCTTCTCTCTTTGTCTCTCCTCCTAGGGTTTTGGTGTAACAACAATCCACAATTCACGAGGCATGAATCATTATTCTCCCCACTTGCTAATTCTCTCGCGAAGATCCCCAGATTTTACTATATCATCGGCTTTGGGAATTTAACTGGACAACGATTTTCAAACTCTGATATTGAAAAATGGCCACACATTCATCGAGATCGGAGAATAAAGACGCCGGAGAAGAAGATGAGCTCCGACGACGAAACCCTTATGAAGTCCTTGGCATCCCTAGCAATTCGACTGATCAAGAGATCAAAAGTGCTTATCGAAGAATGGCTCTCAGGTCTTGAAAAACTTTGCGTGATTAACATGTTTTTGGGATGCAATTTAGGTTTAGAAGTGATTTAAGAGGTTTAGGTTTTGTGCAAGTGTTGTCTCTGTGTTAAAGTTGATTACTTGGTGGATACAACTTGTTACCTGTACTTAAAGTTTGTTTATTTAGGTACCATCCTGATAAGAATCCAAACGATCCCGTTGCAGCGGATATGTTTAAGGAAGTTACATTTGCCTATGAGGTCTTGTCTGATCCTGAGAATCGGCGTCTATATGATACTACTGGCTCTGAGGTGAGATTCATACAAGTCCTGAATTTTGCTACTGGTTTTATTAGAGTTGGAACAAGAATTCTCCACTTTTGCAGTTTCTTAGATAACCTTAAATCACCTAAGGCTATAGTTTCGAATTCTTCTTTAGATGACCCTTTGTCCAAAATCATCTAAATTGTATTGATTTTACATGGGATGTAGGCTGTGGGTCCGGAAAATGAAGATCTTGAGCTTGATCTTTCGAGCTTAGGAGCTGTTAATACTATATTTGCCGCGCTGTTCAAGTGAGTTTTGTAGACTTGTTCTATTCTCTGTTTTTTCTTTTCTCATAAATCCCCTTGGCTTTGAAAGAGAATGTTATCAAGTTTCTTACTTTTGTTTGGGAGATAGATAACTAAGAACTTGACAATTTTGTCCACCACAGTAAGCTTGGTGTGCAGATTAAGACAACCGTCTCTGCAAATTTATTGGGGGAGGCGTTGAATGGTACGGTTACTACTTTGCCTCTCATGGTTGGGCAAGTCGTGTCCAGGAAGGTATGAGAATGAGAGTTTTAGTAGGCTAGCATTTGCTTTCTTTGCACTAATGTGGATTTGTCACCTGTAACATATTTTCTTTTCTAACAGGTTGAAAAGCAATCGGCTCACTTTTATTCTGTAACGTTAACAGAGGAAGAAGCCCAGGCTGGATTGATATGTAAGGTGCAGTCATCTGCAAAAAACAAATTCAAGGTTCGTTTGCTCAAACTCTTGCCTTTCGTGCTCAAGAATCTCATAGTTGTTTTTCGTATTCTGTATTTTACCTCTGATACTCCTTTTGCTTTCCAGTTGCTTTACTTTGAACAAGTAGAGAATGGAGGACTGAGCTTGGCCCTACAGGTATGAAGTTTTATACTCTTAGTTTGTTGAGTAACTAATTTATTGTCACATCTCCGGAATCGCAGTGTGTGGTTTGATCAGAATTTGTTTTTATAATTTGCTCTTCTCATTAACCTGTAACGTCAAAATTATGCATCTAGTTGAACTTTCATGGCTCTTAAGTTTCTTTTGGTTTCTAAATTTTGTTTTATTTTCTTTCATTCTGCAAAAGGAAGACAGCAGGAAAACAGGAAAGCTCTCGACTGCAGGGTTGTATTTCTTCGGCTTCCCTGTTTATCGTTTCGATCACAGGGTTAATTCAGTTAATTTTCTTCTCTACCCTCTCAAGTTAAACACCTTGATTTTCTTCTTTCGATCACCATGTACTCAGTTTTCACTCTTCTGTTCACAGAGGGCTCTCTCAAGGGATCCAGAAACCGGATTTTTCAAAAGGCTTGATACATTCCAACCGTTTGAGATCACTGAACTTAAAGCTGGTTCTCATGTCTTTGCTGTTTATGGTAATGTTTGTTTTATTCACTTACAGTTTCAAGGAATTGGTAGTCAACTCTATTAGAAGTAAAGTAGCCTCACTTGGTGTCATATTACTCTAGGTGATAATTTTTTCAAAAGTGTGAGCTACACTCTAGAAATATTCTCATCTGCTCCATTTGCTAATGAGAAAGAGAGTCTTCGGTCCACTGAAGCGCAGATAGTCTCAAAAAGATCCGAGCTATTGAAGTTTGAATCTGAATATCACGAGGTCTTTGCACAATTCACAGAGATGGCTAGTAAATGCACAGGGGAAGTGCAAGAGGTGAGAGATAGCTTACAATATCACCCCGTTGTCTCCTGTTTTCTTGATTACATAAGAAACAAGTAATTAAGATTTGTTTTGTTTGCAGATTGATGAGCTTCTTAAGAGGAGGAATGAGATATGTGCGGCGTACACAATCTTCCCACCATCGAAGCAAGGTTCAAGCAAGAACAGAAGCTGGAGCAAGGGAAAGAGCAAGAAGAAGAGCAGTCTTTTAATGGAACCTAGAGAAGAAGGAGAAGTCGCAGTTAGGGAAGAAGATGGAGTGAAGAAGAAGAAATGGTACAACATTCAGCTTAGGCAAGACAAGAAAAAAAACTGACGAGAGTACTGAAATCTTGAGTTTTTTTCAGGCACATAGCTATGTTCGAGAAACGATATATATGTTTCAGTAATAATCTCTAGGGATTATCAACATCTAATAAAAAGTGGTCTATGGTTTCTTATGCTTTGCCAGGTTTATCTCTTTGCGCGTTTTGCCGGATTCATCTCTTCGTATGCTTCGACGGATTCAGATTCACATTCTCTGTCCACAGTACTGTCAACTTCGTCTTCTTCAGAAGCTTTGCTGAATTCATATGTATCCTGCTGGTTATTGCCGCCATCTTCTTCCTCACTGAATCCTGGTTTACCATTTGCAGTTTGGTATCCACAATTGTTGTTTATTTCGGATTCATCCTTCCAGATCTGGGTACCGCATTCAACAATCTCGAGTTCGCTACTGAATTCGAACACTAGCTCTCTGCTCGTTACTTCGCAGAATCGTTCTTCTTCAAACAAGTAGGAGTGAAACAGAAACAAATGTTTTCTTTGGATTCTGGGGATTGTGTAGACACTGATCTCGTCAATGGGAAGGTATGCATTTCCTTTGCCCATACGACGACACAATAGTTGTTCGAATTCTCTGGTCTTCTGGTTAGGGGAAATCACGACGCAAACCTTGAGAATGGTGAGAGGCATGTCACCCATCAGACGTATGGTCAAGGAATTTCCTCTGGCTCGGTGCTCGAACTCTTCAGGCACTTCTCTCCCGGGTAAGCAAGCCCATCCCTGAACAAACGATTGTGTTATGATTGCTCGTTGCACTTTACTGTCCAGTTTGAAGCAGTTTGTGTAATTGAGTTGTGTATATGGAGTGTCGTAAGGACAAATAAGTTGCTCCATTGGTTCACAATCGTTTCTAAGCGAATCTGCGAGTTTTCTGCTGCCGTTTAGATAAAGTTGTAATCGATGGAGACTTTTCTTGCAATATGGAATCCTCTCAACACCAGTGTAGCTTAGGATTAGATGCCTTACACTTTGGGGAACATGTGTTAATGCCTTTAGCTTTCCATTACTGGTTATGATTATGTTGAGAACACGAAGACGAGACCAAAGCCTAATTGATGCAGGCACTTGTTCTACCGCTGTGAGTGAGATAGAGAGTTGTAAGATGTTCCTAGAGATGTCTGGAAAGTTTTTCAATCTTTGGCATGCCGTCATATTGACTGATTCAAGAGATGCCAAGTTCATGCGAGTTGGAATGACTTCTAACTTCGTGCAGGCAAACATGCTCAACACTTTTAGTTTGTGAAGATTTGAAAAAGAGGAGGGAATCTCTACCAAACTCTCGCAATCATCTAAATTCAATCTCTTGAGATTTGTGGCATTGGAAAGATCTGGGAGTTCTTTCAAATGACGGGACATCGACAAATCCATCTTCTTGAGATTTGTAAGCAGCTGAATGTAAAACCAAATAACAGAGTAAAGACCATCAAAACATGAAGAGAAAGTACAGAATCATCAATTCAAACTAAACCAATTGAAAAACAAACCTGGGGTCCTTTCCAGAGCTTCTCGAGTTGGCTATTCTGCATATCGAGTTCAACGAGATTTTCCAGATAAAATCTAATAGGAAGACTCTTTCTCGGGTATGCCTCCCAATGTAGTAACTTTAGACGAGGTGGGAACTGCAAGTCCTCTGGTATGCAAATTCTGTCATTTTCATCGCTTACACTGAGGAATTGAAGGTTACGCATTCTCTTGAAAGCTCCTTCGCTTACAAACACTTTGCTGATATTGGATGCATCAAATGATATGCCAGCCACGGTTCTAGTACCCTAAACCAAATTCCAAACAGAAGAAACTGTTAGCACGATACCAGAAGAAAGATTATAACAATACGAGAAAAAGAAAGTGTTAAAGAACTCACTGTATCATATTCAAGGACATCACAAATCTCATGAGCATCAATTAAGATTTGGCGTTTCCAAGGTTCTTGTCTATGAATGGCTTGTCTACCCATTTGTTGTAGTAATTTGTGCATTACTATATCTCCATTGGTAGAGATGTCTATGAGAGATCTATTGACTAGGTTTCTCAACCCATGTTCGACATCCAAATTATCCTCACCGAGTATGGCTTTTACATAATCTTCGTCTTTGTAGTTGAAGAAGATTGCGATGTGAAGAAACAGAGCTTGATCTTTCTCATGTAAACTATCGTATCCGACTCTTAACACTCTCTCGAGATCTCCATCAAGACTAGTTTCTAGCCTATTCATTATAACTTTCCATTCATCCTCACATTTCCCGCGTAAAGATGAACCCACAACACGGAGTCCTAATGGAAGATTACTGCAAAGCTCTGTTACTCTTATTGCAAGCTTTTCAAAACCATAAAGTGGAGAGCTTCTCCTAAAAGCATATCTACAAAAGATCTCAAGAGCTTCTTCATTAGATGGAAATCCCACATGGTATGTATTGTTGATGCCATACCGTTGCAAAAGCTCTTGATCTTTCGTAGTTACAATAATCCTACTTCCATGACCAAAACGATAGATATCCTTAGCCAAAGCATCTAATTGCTCAAGGCTATCCACATCATCAAGAATGATGAGAACCTTTTGGCAGCGTAACCTTTCATATATAACATCTAAGTTACATATCTTCACTCCGTTGTGGTTCAAAATCTGCGAAAGAAGTTGTTCTTGTAAACGCAGCTTTGAACCATGCTCATCACAATCAATATTCCTATAACTTCCCTTAACATTTTCCATGAAATATCTAAGCGGAAAATTGCGAGAAATTTGGTTATATAAAGCTCTCGCAATGGTAGTTTTACCAATGCCCCCAGGACCAGAGATTCCTAAGGTCATAGCTTCATCAGTTTCTGATTGTAACAAATATTGAATTTTCCGCAAATGAGCTTCAAGTCCTACCATACCATCAAAATCCTTAGACAATGTAGCATTTAGTTTGTCTGACACATCTCTAGCAATCTTCTCAATCATGTTTGCTTCATTGTCCCTACAAGAAAAAAAAAATCTAAGAGATTAAAACCTTTTTTCATTGTAATGAATCATCGGCTTGAACAACTCATCCTTAAACAAGATACTAATGACCACCTAATAAAATCTTACTTGTAATTTTTTAAAGAACTAACCAATTCAGGGAGTGTTCTCCGGCTATGTTGGCGACATGGGTCAAAGATTGGGTCCATCTATGTATCTTAGCCTCTGTTTTACCTTGGCAAGTTTTCTTGAAAGCCTTCCCAAACTCTCCCATCTGTTTCCTCACATCACTTGGATCCACTTTGTAGAAAACGGTCATCACTATTTGTCCCGCAGATTCTTGACACTTCGAAATTTCCAACAGCTCGTTCAAACACCAACTTGAAGAAGCATAGTTCTCCGAGAGCACCACGATCGAGATTCTCGATTCTCTTATCGCCCGTGTGAGTTCAGAACTAATGGTTTGGCTTCTCTCGATCCCTTCATCATTGAAAGTTATGATCCCATTGTGTTGAAACTGTTTTTGTAAATGACTTAGAAATGTTACACGGACGTCTGGCCCGTGGAAGCTAGGGAAGACGTTGTATCTCCAACTCCGAGAGGAAGAAGAAGAAGAGGAAGCCATGAGAGATCGAATGTGTAATTAAAGAGAATTTCAAAGACAGTTACAATCAGATAGTTAAAGCTCTATGTATTAATAACAAGGCAGTGTATTATTTAACGCGTTATGAGAGGAGAAAACGTCAAAGAGAAAAGTGTTTCTTTCTTGTTTTCATTTTAAGACCTTTTACACTTATTAAGAGGTCCTTGTACAGTTCACAGAGATGGCTAGTAAATGCGCAGGGGAAGTACAAGAGGTGAGAGATAGCAATAAGTTTCTCCGACTACTTAAAGAAACAAGTAACTTACACTTGTTGTTTTTATTAGGGATATCGATATGCCATATCACAAGTTGGACAAGGATCCTGACAGTATATAAGAGATATGGTTAATCCACTCATTAATTGTCAATTGGTTTTGATTTGGAAGCCTATATTTTGATATGATATCAGAGCCCGATCCACAGCCCGATACACAATCGGCCCAACCCAATTTGGTATGTCGATCCTTGCCAGATATACGAGATCAAGAGCTAGAAAACCATCATCTCGAAGGGCGTATTAGGGATAACTTCCATTGTGTTAAAACTGTTTTTGTAAATGACTTAGAAATGTTACATGGACATCTAGCCCATGGAAGTTCGGGAAGACGTTGTATCTCCAACTCTGAGAAGAATAAGAAGAAGAGGAGAAGAAGCCATGATAGATCAAAAATGTAACTAAAGAGAGTTTCAAAGAAAGTCCATAGAGGATAAGATACATTGAGGCACTAGTGAAAGTTTAATCCCATCTATCTCTGGAAGGTGGTCAAGTTCCTAGTAACATAGAACAAATTTGAAATTTATTCTTGGGATACGAATCTCAATGTAATTACAAAAACATAGACAAATGAAACGCACCAGGACGAGCAAATGTAGATTCATGCAGCTGCAACCATGAAAGGCTGGTAAAACGTCCCAAGACGATTCGACTAATGAAGCATCCAAGCTATACAAGTTAGAACATGGAGGCAACGGTTCCACCTTGGAATAGCCATAGATGACATAAGTATAGCAATAAAGGGAAGTAAGCACCATCTACAAACTTGTATAACCTTATTGTTAATGAATCAATCATTCATGTGTACCTCTAGAGTTCGAGCAGATATTGTCACTTAGTAAAATATGGATATCCTAATGGTAAAATTATGGATATTAGTTATCTCCAATGGATCATCATATTCGACATCAAACATAACATCAACGTTTACCTCTGCAAAGGGACCAATACTAAGTATTACAAGGCTTAAAGGTTGGTAATCACTGATACACATATACTCAAGACTCGGAGCATCGATTTCAACATCGGGATCGTCACACTCGGGACGCTGAGACTCTAGTGTGAAGCTTTCCAGTGGTTGTGAACGAAATCGCAAAACTTTGAGATAATTTTCGGATGAGTGATCACGGTTAAATCCTCAAGAACTGGAAAACTTGATTAGAGAGTCTCCAAAACGGAATCGCCATCAAACTTTACCTCCTCTAAATACAAAGTCTTGAAACAAAGTACAGAAACTGATTTTGATTCTGGATGATCAAAGACAACACATTAGAGAGTCAAATCCACCAAAGTTGAACATGTATAGAGAAAGAGAGGCATCATAACTAAGGCTCCAACGACACGAATAAACGTTAGAGCCTTAGTTAGGATGCCTCTCTCGCTCTATTCTTGTGCGATTTTGGTGGATTTGACTCTCTATTTGTTGTCTTTGATCATCCAGAATCAAAATTGGTTTCTTTACCTTGTGTCAATACCATGTATTTAGCGGGGGTTCAGTTTGGTGGCGATTCCGGTTTGGAGACTCTCATATCAAGCTGTCCGGTTCTTGACGATTTAATTATGATTACGCATCTGAATGATTATCTCAAAGTCCTACGTGTTCGTTCTCAATCACTGAAAAGCATCATACTAGATTCTCAGCGAGTGTGATGATCAGGTTGTTGAAATTGATGCTCCCAGTCTTGCATATATAAGTATTAATGATTACCAACCTAAAAGCTTTATAATACATAGTAGTGGTTCATCTACAGAGGTAAACGTTGATGTTGTGTTTGAAAAAGTGACCATATCTGTTGGAACTATAGAGGTACAATTACTTTCTTTAGTTCTATACACAGGTCATCCATTCCATGGTGGAACCTGTTGCCTCCATTTTCTAACTTGTCTCGCTTGGATGCTTTGTTAGTTGAATCTTCGTGGGAAGTATTACCAGCCTTTCTTGGTTGATGCATGAATCTAGATTTGCTCTTTCTAGTGTGTTTTATTTGCTTATGTTAATTGTACTTACATTGAGATTTAAATCCCAAAAAACTTTTCAAAAGTAAGACTTTTCTCGTTTTTTGTTTGTTTGTTTGTTGACATATATGGCTATATATTTCCTAGTTTTATATGGATGTTATATAGTTTAAAAAATTTATTTCACTTAAAAACTATATTGAAATTCGACTATGATATAATTTATTGGATTCTAAACTTTTATTTCCGTTAAACGAAACCTAATCATCAACTATATTGCGTTCACGTGATTTATATCATGGCTATTTGTTCCATCTACGTAAAGACTCTAAAATCTTTTTTTTTTCTTGGTATGAAGACTCATTTTTATTTTGCATTATATGAGAAGTTGAACTCGTGTGGTATCAGCGTAATAACAATTGCACAACTTCCAAAACAACAATTCCAAGTCAACTTTCATTAATCTCTTAAATGATCTAATTTGGGAGAAAATTGCATTGAAAAAGGGGTATTTTTGCAAAAGCCCCCTAAGGAATATTAAAACCAGAATATTTATGTCCAAGCTTCTTCTACCGATAACTACTAAAAAAAACAAAAAAAAGAAATGAACAACATGAACATTGAGGAATGGAACATAAAGTTTTGTGGAATGAACAGTAAAATTGCTGGAAAATATAGTAAAATATACCATTACGATAAATAATAACCAAACAGAAATAAATTTTAAAAATATATATGAAATAATTAACAAGTCAATCTATAAGGAATAAAGTGAATGATATCTTACAATAATTAATAAGATTTTTTAAATATTGATATGAAGAATTTATTTCATAGACTTTTCGAAGACATTCGATAACAAAATCATTTTGATAAATAATTGAAACCGAAATTATTATTATTATTATTATTATTATTATTATTATTATTATTATTATTATTATTATTATTATTATTATTATTATTACTACTACTTTACATAGAATTTCAAGTTATATATGAAACATATCCAGAAACATATAATCAAACATTAAAATCAAGAAATACATATATGAATGGAGTTTGAGCGTACTTGCGCTTTCTTTAACCACCATATCCAAATCTAGGACCTATATTCTATTTCTCGACACAACAAATTCAGATCCTGAATAATTTGACCATAATTAGTTTATCGGGTTCTTTTTAGCTATCTATAAATTTCATGGATCCAATTACAGATACAAAACAAAAGATGACAATTAAAATTAACAAATTAATTGAACATGAGAAAAATAGTCAACCGGAGGATATCCAATTAAAACATCAACTACACAAATGAATAGAAATGTAAATGTTCTAATATCGGCACATACCTTTTGATGAATAATAACGTAATTCGAGGGGAAGAGACGATATGCTTTCCACGGGCCGATCATCCGATTAGCTCCAGAGAGAGGTATTTTATTCGATACGATATTAGTCTCATAAATTCTCATCTAATATAATCAAAGATTTGTATAATTTGTTTTCTACGATACGGCGGCACAAGTACAAGAAAACAGTTTAGAGAGTTTGTGAACCTATATATATACAAATGAAATTAACCTAAGAAAGGATTAAGACACATTTAAAACGACATCGTATGGAGTAGTGGTGCCCATTAAGAGTTAATAGGCCCATAAATTAAATATCTTAAAATTCTTACTAGATGAATATCAATACTATGCACATGGTTCTTGTTTTCCAAAAACAATTATAGTATTAAATGCTTTTGTTGACCATTTTGTTAAAAATGAAATAATATTAAGCTTTTTTCTACATCAATTTTATATATTTATATAATATATAATATTCATAGAATGAGGATATTCTGTTTCCCAATTTCTAAAATATAAAATAAATTACATGAGTATATAACCTATTATTAAGGCAACTTGATTTTTTTTATACTTCAAGTTTAAATGAATATTTATAACTTATTACTTTTATATTTTTTGTTTCTTAGAATTTTATTAAATTTTTATATTATTAAAAGAGAAAATTTATTGTATTTTTAATATTTTATAAATATGAGAATATTATAAATGTGATTTTTCTCAAAATGTATAAATGTGTTTTATATAAGTTTAGACTTTTGACTATTCACGGAAAAAAGTCATTGTTAGTGATGGATTAGTGTATTTGACTGAATCTGGTTCAAACAAATGGGAAAGATTTGGCGATTTTTCATATTTTTCCATTTGTCTAGAGTTTGTTATCAGTGTTCCTATTATTTTCCAATGTAACGATTTTTCGTGTAAAAACATATATATATAGTTATTATTCATTATTATATGTTTTCATATTTCTTTATGATATGCCTGCAATTAGTATTCATTGTTAATTAAAAATAATATATTTTTCATTTTTTATTGTAAGAAAAATATGGCTGTCCATTTTAGGTATCGGAAAGGCTGATATCGAGAGGTCTTTGTTACAGTTCACAGAGATGGCAAGTACAAGACGTGAGAGATAGCAATATCAATATGCCAGACGGACACTAACAATTTTTGCCGTTTCCCTTGTATTTAGGGAATAGTTTATCCTCGTCAAACAAATCATGGATCCATCTCAGTAATGCCTTATACAATAGTAACCACTGGATTCCGTGATATAAACAAAGAAAAAACGTACTTCCTCCGTTTCGTTTTAGTTGTCGTTTAAAGTTTTTTCACACAAATTAAGAAAAGCATTAAATTTTCTGTTTTACTTTTTACTAATATATTTTATAAAAAATTTCATTGGCCAAAACATTAAAACAGTAGGGATAAAACTGGAATTTTCACTAAATATTTGCATTGAAAACCTAAAACGACAACTATTATGAAACAAAATTTAAATCCTAAAATGACAACTAAACTGAAACGGGAGAGTATTTGATTTTGTGTCAAAATAATGCAAATAAACATAAAACAATATGTGGACTTACTGGGCCAGGTCATTTGATTAGGCCCATCAATATGTAGTCCAAATCCATATTTATACAACTTTCGTGAAGTAAGGTGCAAGCAAATTCAATTCAAAACCCTAAAGTTTGAGCCATGAACGATGAAGAGCCACCACAGAAGAAGAATAAACTGCCAATAGAACCACCAACCTTGAATCTTTCACTTCCAGAAGATTTGATAGTGAGTATCTTAGCCCGTGTCTCGAGATTGTATTATCCAACTCTCTCCTTAGTCTCCAAGCGCTTCCGCTCGCTCCTTACTTCACCGGAGCTTTACCAAACCCGGTCACTATTAGGTCGTAGCGATAATTTTCTCTATGTATGCTTACGGTTCTCTCGTACTGACCGAATCCCTCGCTGGTTCATGCTGTGTCGGAGACCAAATCAAATCCTAACCAGTGACACTAAGAAGAAGAAGAAGAAGAAGTCAAGCGGGTATGTTTTGGCAACAATCCCAATTCACCATTCTCCTCCTGCGCACGGTTCAGGTCTCGTGGCGGTTGGTTCTAATATCTACAACATTGGAGGATCCATCTACGATTCGCCCTCATCAAATGCTTCAATCCTAGATTGCTGGTCTCACACATGGCTCAAAGCTCCAAGCATGCATGTGGAGCGGGATTACCCATCAGCCAATTTCCTTGATGAAAAGATATACGTAACAGGAGGCTGTTATAAACACTACAATCCATCAAACTGGATGGAGGTTTTCGATCTAAAAACAAAAACTTGGGAGCCTGTGTTGAGCCGTGCAGGGATATACAAGAGATTGACGTTATATAGATGTCATGATGAAACTCATAACGTAGTGGTTGATGGAAAGCTATACATTATTGGGGATAAGGGTGTGGCTTACAACCCCAAGGATGATACATGGAATAGCTTAGAATCGGAGATGGAATTGGGTTTGATATGGTCTTCTTCTTGTGTGATAGAGAACGTGCTTTACTATTATTATTACGGAGAAGAGATCAAATGGTATGACACTAAGGCAAGATCTTGGAGAAATTTAAATGGTACGAAAAAGTTGCCTAAGTTTGCTCGTCATGCCAATGTTAGGTTGGCGGATTATGGAGGAAAAATGGCACTTTTTTGGGACAAGTTTGTGGCTTCTGGTGGTGTTCGTGGCTATGAGAATAGGATGATTTGGTGTGCGATGATTGCACTTGATAGACGCAATAGCGAAGAGATTTGGATCGACATTAATACAGAATAATATACTACATGTGAAATCCTAGGATTAACAAATCAAAATACAATTATACAATTTTAAACACTAAACAAAACAAATACAACTTAAAAATTTTATTTCTTAGTTACAACGCATATGACTCGTGGTGTACAACAAAAAATACTATATACAACAAATTCATCAATTTATAAAAGGATAAAACAAATCAAATAATTAACCCGCGGTGTACCGCGGGTCATATCCTAGTATATTTAATTATACAAGTAATATATGTTAAGTCAAAGGGTGTATGTGTTAGAGTCGTGTATGTTAAGTTATGTCCTATTTTTTATTTTTTATTTTTTATTTATTTATTTTTTTTTTGGTAAAAAAGTTATGTCCTATTGTCCAAAAGTCACAAGTAGAAGAGATGCAACTCTTATTGTGTCTGTTGTTTATCTATTTAAACATCGTAACTATGATGTAAACATATAAGTTTGTGATTCAATAAAATTCAGTTCTCTGTTACTCTCTTTTGTTCTTTTCGATTGTGTGTCTCAGAATAACAAGTAAACACTTGTTGTGTTCTTTGTGAGAACAAGGAGCCTTTGCTTCTAACAGCTTCATCAATGGACAATGGTGCTTACACCTTCGGATGCATTTTTCGCCATTATCTCTCTATTTCCATTATCTCCTTCGCCTTCCATATCATATTTGGATGCTTAGGTGTATAACTGATGTGCAATAAAACTAATGAGCGTAAATGACTTGAATGATTCTGATGCATACACCTAGCTCATCCGCTTCTAGGTTGTTGCATAAAAACTTTAATCCATCAGCCTGTTGAGACCTTGTCTCCTTATTTTCTATTTTGGGAATATAAGTAAGGAGATGATATTAGATCAGACAAAATGTTGCATATAAACATTGATATCGTCAATATATAGGAAGATATATGTTATTTTTCCTATAGAATGACACAACAGTGAGAGGCAGACCTTGAAAATGGTGAGAGGCATGTGAGAGGCAGACATTGAAAATGGTACGATCAGAAAAATAAATAACATTTATCAAAATAAGACTAAAAAGTCTTAATTTTAGGTCCTAACAAAAGGGAAAAAAACCAAAAAAACTGTTATCTATTTTTTTGGCCATTTAATACATGTAGTTTTAAAATTTGAATGAAAATATCTCGTTTAATTATTGTTGTCTTTTGAATTTTTTGTTTTTAAAATTTTGGTAGATTCGTTCTTCCTCGTTAACGTATATAAATACAATCTCTTTTCAAAATTACATGAATATATTATCTTAGTCTAGTAGTTAAATGTGGGTTGTATACCCCCTTAGGCCAGAGTTCGAATCTTACCTCCATTTTTAGGCGTTTAAATTTTTTTTTTTTTTTTTGGCAATTGCCGTTACTCAGATCCGGTTAACGATTCCGATGAGGAAGAGGAGGATTTTGCTTATCGATGTCTTCAGATCCTAGATTAGCTTCTGATTTCGCTTGGATTAACTTCAATTTCGTGATTCCGAGCATGAATCGCAAAGCTTAGTGGCGGATTTTCCCATTCTCTTCTTTTTGATTTCTTCGTTGTTGCAGAAGAAGAAATCTGTTCAGATTTTGGTTCCAAAATTGTTGAGATAGTATTGGCTTTCATTAGTGATGGTTGGACTTGTCTTCTTGTGTGTCTTTTTGGTGTCCACTCCATGTTTTAGCTTAACACAGTATGGTGGTGGTTCCGGTGGATTTGCCGGCGGAGTAACAACAAGGAGAAAAAATAAAATAAAAAAGCTACAAATGTGGGCATTGAACCCGTAGTTCTCTGGGTAGAGAAACACACCTCTCACCACCGAACCACATTAATAAATGTATAAAAAAATATGGGAAAAATGTCATTTAAATCACCATTTTACCATTTTCGTTGGTTTAAATCATGAATTCTAGACATGGTGATTTAGATCCTTAATTTTATGTTGATTTTCATTTTAATCATGAATTCTCATTAACAAAGTCAATTGAGTCACATCGCCAACTGGCTAAACGGATTAATAAGACAATGTCATCGCATAACTGGCACTTTGAAGCCATCACATAATTTTTCTTTTACACCAACATGGTTTCTATATTTCTCTTCGTTCGATTGCTCCGTTTAGCCAGTTAACAATGTGGCCTAATTGGCTTAGTCAACGAGAATTCGTGATTAAATTGAAAGTCAACATAAAATTGAGGATTTAAATCATCAGATCTACATAAAATAAGGATTTAAATCACCAGCTCCACAGTTCATGCTTTAAACCAACGAAAATGGTAAACTGATGATTTAAATGCATTTTTTACCATCGTTAACAGCCGTTAACACGGAAGTACGAATCTATCAAATTTTAAAAAACAAAAAATTTAAAAGACAACAACAATTAAACGAGGTATTTTCATTCCAATTTTAAAACTACAAGTATTAAACGGCCAAAAAAATAAATGGCGGGTTTTTCGGGTTTTTTCTCCAAACAAAATCTTTATTTTTTTCCTCTAATCTTTTGTATATTTTCACTCTCATCTCTTTCTTTCTCTCTCTATCTCTTTTTCCAATATTACATGTTAGAGCATCTCCAAAGAGAGGTTCTCTTCAAAAATTTGATGGGTTCTCATGTTTAATTGCCAAAAAAAAAAAATCAAAACTGACAATACAACAGAGAATCGACTCTCTAAAGAGAGTTTTGAAAAATTGAGAGAGGCATACATGTGTCACAATGTGATTGGAGGATCTATTACAATGAAAAAAAAATTCATTTTGCTAGTTTTCTCGATTGGGCCTTTCAGTTCACAAATATGGGCCTAATACATTAGAAAATCAACTCTAATAAATTAAGCTCAAATGCTCGTTTCAAAAGGTACACGGTTAGGAATAAACACTAGGTTTCTCTCATGATCTGACACATCAGCTTTTTTAGCTTTCTTGGATGTGACACATCATTAAAAACGAAAAAAATGGGCTTATTAATTATCCAGATTACATTAAAATGCTGGGCTTATTATTTTCTTCTTAAAATCGAAAATTGAGAAAGAAAAAAATCGAGGGTGACGAAAAAAAAAAATGGGGAAGACGGGGAAGATGAAGGGAAGCCAAAGCTTGAAACAAAGGTTGCTTTTTTCGACACTTTCTTCAACACCTATCTTGATTGATGAGATTAGTGCCGACGACATGATCTCTGGTATTCGCCCTCACGAGTTTAATCTTTTCTGCTACTTAGAAACTGTCACTGATGACGCAGTCGTTAAGATTAACGAGACCGAGAAGTAACGAATCACCTGAATTAGTGTTCATGACTTCAGATTTATTGATATTAGGACTTATAGAAAAATTAACATCTTACGGTATTTTTGTTATTGAGCTGAAGCTAAGTTTCACGAATTTAAAAAAAAAAAAAAAAAAAAAAAAAAAAAAAAAAATTCACCAATTTAGGGTTCATGACTTCAAATTTGAAAAAGAGAGGAAACTTGATAAATTGGCTCTTGAATTTCTGAGAAGCAAGCTAATAAAAAGTGAAACAAGGTGTTGGAAATGGAGCTACGCAGAAGTATATGTCAACAAGTATAAGGAAGAATCTCATAAGTGTATTATGTCGGTGGATTTGGCTTTGAAATAATCTTTCAAAAATAGGAAGAGAAAAGGGAAGATGGGTGCAGACTCTGAAAAGAAGAAGCGACTCAAGAGATGGTATGGAATCTCTTTTATCTTTCCATGATTAAGTTATTTTTTCTGAAATTGTGATGCTAATGGTGGGTGGGTATGTAGGTTCAGTAATCCCATATTTGGTGATGTAATTTTGTTGGTTGGGTTCTTACTTCTTACATATCTTTGTTTTGCTTATTGATGATGTGTTTATTTTTTCAGGAAAGGGAAGAGAGTTGTTGAAGATAGTGATAGTGATGATAGCAGCGATGATGATGATGATAAGAAATTTGTTGTTATAAATAATGATGGCCAAGTTGTTTGAGATAAGGATACTAATGAATGGTCAAGCTCTGTTGCGGATGGATCCCATGATGGTGATTCTTCTGGTAAATGTTCATGCAATAGTGGTTCAGAGGAAGAGAACGACTTTGTAGTGCACCAAAGACTAGACGTGGTTAAGGGAAAGATCATTGATGTTCAAGGGATTAATGAAGAGAAGATGGATGATTAACCTATTGATGTTGCTGATGCAATGAATCAACCTAAAAATTTGGAGAAATCAAGTGGAGACGCATGGAAGAAATCTGGTCGATTAGCTTGTGAAACGTTAATCACATCTGCAACTGTTAAGAATCAAGGCAATGATTTTGTCGTAAAGAAAGGAAGAACTACGAAAGAAACGGTCTTTGTTGATGCAGTGTGTTGCAAACCTGCTGAACTGCTTAACTTTGATAACTTCAATTCAGCAACAGATATGGAGGTACGTATAGAATTTTTATACGTAAGTTAAAAACCAACTTAGCGGTGTGTCATATAATATAGTTCATGTATTTCACCAATTACACTACTAAACCTATATTGAATCCATCGGTGGTTTGGTTTCAGGTTTTGGGGATGGAGAGATTGAAGACAGAGCTTCAGTCACTCAGTCTGAAATGCCGGGGGACATTGCGAGAGCTAGCTACGAGGCTATTTTTACTTAAATCAACACCACTTGATAAGCTCCCAAAGAAATTGATGGCCAAGAAATGAAGAACAACATCCAACTCCAAAAAGATTACACCCTTTTGAAGTTTTTTGCTTGTAGTATAATAATAATACAACCCACAATGTATAATATAAGCTGTATTTTTCACTAATCCACAAGAACAAAAAAGATCAAAAAAGTATCATGCGACGTAGTGCGGGTTTCGATCCTTGTGCTTATAAAATTACCACAACTTAGAAGATCATTTAAAATAAGCACATTACCCTTTAGGCTAAACCATTTTATTTTGTCATCATCCATTAGATTTTTGTAGCATTGTTATAATTATATGCTAAGTATATGCCTGACCCAACCATTGA